ACTAATAACCAAGGCAAAACCGGTCTGATATATATAGTCAGGACCTTGGTTAGTCTGCCTGACATCAGCAGCTGACTTCTCCTTAAAATACCAATACAAGACAAGCATACAGGGTTTCAAATCATGGCGACTGGTCACGAAAACAATACAGACCTAATCTAGATAACCATATTCTCCCACCCGATGTTGTAAGAAATGTATGAAATCGGGTAATGAGAATTTGTCGTTTGACTCCAGGGTTCAGTGATAGCAGTTTTCTAAGCAACACTTTATTACTTGGGATCTTTATCTTTTTTATTCCAGCAGGTACGATTAGCTAATTCACTTCCCTTCAAATGCCTGCCTTACTGTACTATTACAGTTTTGCAATAGCTGTATTTTAAACACGACAGTGTGAGAATATCTTTGACTGTGTAACATGAAATTGTTGACGGTTTTCACAGTTTAATAATTCACCTGCAAATAATGAAACATAAACCTGGACAAACGCGATTGGTGTTGCAACGAGTAATGTTAGCTGTAGATATAATAAACTGTAAATATCCAAAGCATCAATTATACGTAGCTGGATAAATGTTAAGTATATTAAGCGATGACGAGGTCATCGTATTTACAAAAAGCGAAGTAGCGATCGTAGATTTTCACGAGGTCACTCAGTTTGTTTGCAATCAAGACCAGCACTCTGGTTTTGAACAAAAGGTAACCCATTTAAAATTTCTTGGCTTCATATGTGGTCAAGCTAGCAGGGTAAAATGCGAGAAAAGAAGAATATCGCACTCAAACTGGTGCAAAGATGAGTAGCTAGTGCGTAACCGGAGCGGTCTTCCCTCATTTGGACTATACTTGGACATCTCCCCGACCACCAACCCTTCCCCCCACCTTCCCCGATAGGGTATGGCTTTTTGGCCTTGCTGCTCTGAATAGGGTTTATAATTTTTTTTCTAGTCTATCCCAGACATTTCCATCGTTAAATGTGGTTTAAACAGCAGATCGGAGAGGATCGGAAAATGGTGCCCAGCGTTAGATGATAGCAATTATGGGGTTGCCAGGATCCTCTAAGGGTCCTAGAATTAAAGGTGTTAAGCTACTCGGGGAGGTAGTTTAGTTTTTCTCTGTCCCAAACAGGGTCAGGATTTCAAACCCTAGGTGGCACCTCTTAACCAGATAAGGGTTAAGTACCCCTCCAACATCACCTTGGAGTACATAGAAAAATAATCGAAAAATAATTCACAAAATAGCGCAAGAGCGAGTAAACGGTGAATAATGCACATTATATAATCCAACCGTTTCTTTTCACTGTTTTCTTCGCATTCTATTTTGTTTTGAGTCGAGTCGAGTCGAACATTGCGAATAGAATTATTCGCGCTGAGCCTTTCGTTACTTGGTAACCAAGTGATCAGGATGTTCCTCTGGCCTGCTGGGAGTGGAACTTAAAAACACCCGGTTCAACTGGTGAACCATAATTGTCTTCACCCCATTTAAGTTTGCTTTTCGCTTGGATCTAACGGGGTTTAGACCGAGTGGAATCTCCAGAGTTTGATTAATTGAGGACAAATTAGCTGAAAGCCTTAAACCCGACGGAAGGATCAAACAGAGAGCATGTCCGGTCGTTATTTAAGTTACTAGTTCAGAAGTCTTTAACCAACGTTTTACGTGAAAAACAATGAGAGATCGTTTTGCCATAAGTATTAGTTGGTCTGCCTCGAAAACTTGCACGATACATGATCTTGGGCACAAATTCGTTGAGAAAACATACCTTTCCGAAGATGAACAAAAAAGGGTGGATTATGAAAGTTTTCCTCTGCCGAGTAATTAGTGATTCTTACTTACTACAGAGAAGCGATCGAGTCTCTTTGGTGAAACGTTACAACCTTTTTATTGATGTCTCTTTTGTTATGCTAATTTACAGCTGTGGTTGCAATCCCATCAAGGTGCAACATTACTAAATCTGACTGTTTGTGTACAGGATCACATCTGTGGATATTTTTAGGTTTACAAAATGTAGAAAATGTTTTACAATAAAGTTCAGAACTCTGAAAATAGTGCAATAACAAGTTTAAACCTGAAGATGACAAAATTAAAACGAAATTGATCGTTAGGATCTTTTGGCTTTCTTTGTTTGATTTTTCTTTCTAACTTGGCCGGTACTAACAAAAGTTTTTAACCATGTATTTGATTATTCTAACCTAAAATGAATGGTATGGACTTTCTGCACGTAGTAATAACTAGTTTTGACTAGCATTTTTAACTACTTTTTTAATTAATTTTGCATATTGGGTGAGCTGACTAGATCTGTTATTTAAAATTGCATTAAACCCTGCTAGGTCCCACCTAATTTGACTATACATTGTAAGATAAATAAAACGTCGAACGAGCATGTTTTGTTATCCCTAACACGCCCTTAGCAAGACGTGCCCTTTGGTCACGCCACTTTAAAATTAATTTTACATATGTAGCTCGATCTATTTTCATCCTTAGTCATCACCATTAAGATGCTGTTATCAGTTGGATCCTCAAAGATAATGGTAGGATGAAATCCCTCTTTATATTTCTCTTGCACCCAGTTACATCTGGCAGTCCTGTTATTAAACCACCCATAGGTCTGGCCTTGTGGTGTTGCTGTCATGACCACAAAATACTGACCTAGTCCGGTGGAGTAACATATCCCTGTTATAACTCTTCCCTCTTTATAATTCTTCTGTATTTCATTCTTAGCCTCTTGGCGTGAAATACGAGTAAAACATGTCTGTTCCCCTTTGTATTCATTTGGGTCTTTGGTCATGATGATATAAAATGTTGAACCCCGGGCGGCGCATGCAGTGATCATAAAACCATCTTCCCATTTCTTCCTTATATCAAGTAAGTTCGTTACAATCGACTGACCAGTGCCATAATTTTCCATGAAAAATACCCCGAATCCTAAATTCTCGTCGCATGCAAGAGAGTATATGTTAAGTGACCTGCCATTTTTCCATTCCCACTTTTCGTTTACAAATTTAATGAAGGTGTCGTAGTTTTTCCGAATTCCCCAGGAAAGGTTGGGCATGGGACTGCACCTTTTCGAAGGACCAAAACATCCACTGAAGTATCCGTCATGAAAATTTTGGCAGATAAGGACATTTTCAGAATTGAACAGATGGCTTCGTATAAAATCTACGTACTTAACTGAGTCATATCCAGTGGTAATCGGAAAGTCTTTTCTGTTCCCTCCACTGTATATAGGTTCAGTGCCAGGACGTGATTTCTTTCCGGTCATGAATAAAGTCAAATCTCCACCTTTGCCTAAAAGGTATTCAAAAAATCAATTAGATAAAACACGCAGATCGTCCCGACTTCAGTTAGTTCTTCTTTTTGCATGTTGACACGCACAGCCTTCATGAATGCCGTAGACAGAGACAGTCGAATTTGGATATTTGTAAACTCGCCATTCAAACGTCTTTCCAGCATTAGATTAATTTTTGTCGGTACTCACAATTTGTTGGGTAAATATTGCCCTCAAACCGCTCCCCCCTTGTAAATGTGCTAGTAAATGTAGCATTATATTATGCTAGTAGAACTTCTCTACTTTTGGCCAAATTGTGCTAAAATTATGCTTGTTTAACCAAATTATGCTACATTATGCTCTTTTAACCCTTTTAGTGGCAGTCGGACGTTTTCTTACGATTGAGGGGTTATGCGCTTTCTTTGTACCACTTGTGATGCCATCAATTTAGGCGTCAATAGATANATGCTTGTAGCACTTCACTACTTTTGGCCAAATTATGCTAAAATTTATGCTCGTTTAACCAAGTTATGCTACATTATGCTCTTTTAACCCTTTTAGTGGCAGTCGGACGTTTTCTTACGATTGAGGGGTTATGCGCTTTCTTTGTACCACTTGTGATGCCATCAATTTAGGCGTCAATAGATATTCTTGATAAGTAGATAATAGAGCTAGGATAGATCTATCCACACAATTGTCCGTTTTGGAAATCAACCGCATTCTGACGTAGCTAATTGAAAAAAACGTGAGCAGTTTTTGGTGCAAAATCTGGTGGTAAAATGGCCCATCACACCTAATTTCGATCAAGGTTCCATTTCCAGGCTTTAAAGATAATCAACACAGAGCTTTTTAAGGCTGTCAGAAAGGAAATGGAGGGCAAGAGCTAGTGAGAGTTCAGCAAAGGGGCGAGAAAAAGAAAAGGAAAAGGCCAAGAACAAAAAATCGAATCAGGCCAGCAAAAAAAATGTCCAATTTTTGACTTATGCGCATGGTCCAAAGTAAAACATTGTACATTTTGGTGCCTAATACTCAGGGAAATCTTGCTCCTCGGTAAGAAATCTCTTTTTCAACAAAGTTGAGGCCAATTCAGGGTCGTGGCAGCCAAAAAAAAACCGAGTTAACGGTAAAAAAAACCAGCATTTTTTGAGGAAATTTGCCAGTTAAGGTGGCTCCCTATAGTTTTACGATTACGCGAGCGCTGAGGAAGTAATCTGCGCGCGCTCAAAGGAAAACGTCAGTGTTTTTCGATATTTTGTTAAGTCAACATGAGCACAAAAAGCAAAACTGACAATGAAATTTCTCGCGTTTCCTTCCGTGAAATTCCGTAAAATTTGGCAGATTGGTAGTAAATATTTTACTTTAGTCGGAGCTCGTTTTTCAGGGAAATCCATAAGACCAGACTTTTTGCAGCGGTAAAAGACATAAATTTGAAAATATTGAAAGAACTGCCTTTACAAACCCTACTTTCTTCGTGTTTAAAATTCGTATCCCGCTGAAAGCGATGTGATGTAAAAATTTTGGAAGATTTCACCGAAGGGAATGCATGAAAATCACAAATAAAGCCATAAAAACAGTAAAAAACACATTTGTTTGGGCATTTATAATTTAAGACTAAATCCCACAATTTTAACCGAGATGGTAACAAAACACTATTTAATCATTGCTTATTACATGTAATAAGTTTGAGAGGACTAGGTGTGAAAGCGAATGCAAAAACAGCATTCAAAACATAACACTTGCGTGCGCAACGCCATAAATGATTACCCTATGGAGCCACCTTAAAGGGCTAAAACGTGGCAAGTAAGTCCAAAAATATATTTCCTTTCATCAGAAGACGTTTATTCTTGTTAGCTATATATATATCCTATTTCATGTCCTTTTTAATTTTCATCTCTGGCAGGGCTGCAATTTCTGAAAAATTTTCACTCGAATCAGCTCGCATGGATGAGGCCTTTTTGTAGCCTTGCCCAAGTTAGAGGTTCTGCAATCTCGTTCCCAGAGTCTTCGTTCCCCTTGACCAGTGGTCGGAAAACGAGAGCTCTGAGAGCAACCATTTCAGGCGTGGGCCATAGATGCTGACTGCACAGTGAAACCGGATGGGCAGTATTCGGTTATTTCAAAATGGTTGCTCCCAGAGCTCTCGGTTTTCGACCGCTGGTCAAGGGGAACGAAGACTCTGGGAACGAGATTGGAGGTTCTGAGGACGACTTGGTTTACAGTGGGACTTCCGGTAGGCCCCAGTCTCCGGGCTCAGTAAACTGCAAGAGCGCTTTGGTTGCCGTAACTCACTTCCACCTGGGCTGATACATATGATATATATGCAATGATAAACGACTGGAAAACTTGAATCTTGTACATACACACATACAAACATAGGACGGTCCACTACTAGAGAAAATTTAGAGATCGTTTACTACAGATCTCTCAAGCTAAACAGAATTAAAATAATCAAATTGAAGGCTGTACAAACCTTTGGTATCAAAAGCTTTAGAATACTCCGGACATGCTGCCAGACAGTGGAAACCTGCGATGTTCTCTTCAAGGCAGAAATTTGCCCAATGGCCACTGTAGCAAGCATCGCTGAAGATCATTGGATAGTAAGTTCCACCAGGAAGCATATTAAGAATTTCTTGAACGCTGATTGTCCCATCAGCAAAGCACCAGTTTCCAGTCCCAATTTCTCCATGCCCAGTGTAGTACAAGAAAGGTTTTAACTCTTCACGTTTGCATGTTTCAAAAAGTTTCCTGATATGAGCAGAGGCTGCTGTCTTGGTTAGATAGAGGTCTTTAACAGTGTTGAACAAATTAATTTCGACTGCAGCTTCCATATTGGCTAAATCATGAGCAACACCAGAAAGAAAAGTGCCTGCTCTTCTCACTCCCGGAATATCCCTGGTCCTTCTATCAGAAATATTAATGCGGCTTGGAGGATCAGAAGCACCTGAGAGAATCAACCATCTGGGCTCAATAGAAGTTGGGTTCCACTCTGACCACCTGTCAATTCGGCCAACATTAGGACCCTGTGTAATAGCAGAGCCAGCAAAAGGACGAGACATGGTTCTTGCATAGGGATAAGGCACTCTTAATCCTGACAGTCTCTGGTGTCTGCACTCTTTTCGTTACCTGAGATAAACAAAACCTGTGAATTTTTTATTTTTTATTTTTCACGAATTGCTGATGAGAAATTTCAGTTTCCTACGTGACTACATGTAGGAAAAGATCTTTTGGTTAAAAAAAATGGCTTTTCCAGACTGTAACATAAACAGGGTAAAGAAATAGCCAATTAGCACGTTTGAGAAATCACACTATTTATCCCTAAAAGTAGGTCAGGTTTACGTGACGCTACACGACTCAATTTAAGTGTGAGGCGACTCCCTCGGAGCTATGAAAAATTGCTGGATGTACCATGACAATTTTTAATGAGCATTATTTAGGACGAACTGTATGACAAATTTCATTTCATCACAATTGCGTATCCTAGCCCAACAGTCGAATCTCGCCAGCGGGAATTTTCCTTTGGTCTGGCCTCTGTTCTTCAGTCTCACGTCTGTGTTGCATTTGTAGCAGGGAAAACGCCCATGCCATGTGGCTTATACGTATCAACAGAGCTCCGGCGGCCCGAAAGGCAAAGTATCATACTCATAGCGGAGCTCCGGCGGCCCGAAGGGCCTCCAAGCGGAGCCCCATACTCATATAGGAAAGGAAAGGAAACCCATGAGTTGATTTTCTCGTGGTTATCATGGCTAGCGGTATTGCTCGTGGGCGCGTACGCAAGACGACGAGGGAGTCGCGCGAGATGGCGGCCATACTCCAAATAGTAGGTTGACAGGGACATGCAGCCTTGGTTTACAGTGTACTTTTTTGATATTGGACATCCATGTTATGGTCAATTGACAACTGACAAAACAAGGTATCCGCTGACCAGTATCATGTGACCATATCACCAGCTCAAGTTTAGAGCTCATTGAAGTCACGCGTTTCTTTTTTTCATCAGAAAACCTCATCACAAATTTACAAAACTCAAATGAAAATTCTCGCTTATCCTGGGTTAGCTTAATCGGTCTTTGAACAACCTGGCTCAGGAGTTCCACTGTTAGGCTTGGCTAAATCTATATATTAGACACCGGTGAATTGTTTTTCCCATGGTCATCATGGCTGGCGGTTTTGCTCGTGGGCGCGTGCGCACGACAATGACGAAGGTGTGAAGTATATATGAAATAATTCATATTTGAACTGCGGTAGTAGATGAAAGTGAAGTATGATCATCGTAGTAAATTTTCCAATTTAAGCAACTGGA